CCCCAAAACCCCAAAACCCCCCAGATTGCATTTGCTCAAAATATTTGATGTTTAAGAAATAATCATTATATCAGAAAGCAAATGATAATATGTATTATAACGTATTAGAATAATATTTGCAATTTAAAATGCTTGACTAATGGCTTTATGTATTTACTGTAGCAGCAATATCTATTAGAAATCCAGATAGACTAGAATATTATGTAAAGCAGCCTAAAACAATCTAGGCCTTGAGAGAAATTAGAGAGATGAATCCTTAGCTATAGGTACTACTTAACTCTTTGAATGCGAAAGGTTTTTGCATATATCCTGCTGCATCTATGGAGAGCTGACTTTTCCTAGAAGAGTACTTTGATAGTCATAACTTAGATGAGGAATTCTATGATGATATCAAATGGGAAACATAAACCTATGCGATTCAAGATGCTTAGTTGAAAGCACAAAAGATCCCAAATATTACTCATCATATTTGGCTAACTGACCCTAATAATCCAGTTGATATTGATAGTCATCCTCATAACCAGGAGATGATAGAGACTACTTTAGAAAATATGGCTCATTTGAAATTCTAGCATTTACTTTGGATAAATATTGAAAACGGCTTAGAGAAGACTAAAAAATGGGCTGCTGATAAAAAGCTGCAGGTTAGATATTTTAAATCAATAATGACTAAGAAAAATTAGGAAGTGTTTTAAGTTATTGATGATTATATTGCTAAAGGCTAGGTGATTTTTGCTGCTGACCTGTTTAGATATCTAGTAGTTTTTGAGATGGGAGGCGTGTATCTTGATGTTGATTAAGTAGTGTTTGAGTACGACTTGATCCTGCACAAATTAGACTTGGTACTTTACAGCTAGCAGTATTCAGGGATTTAATCTGTTGAGACCTCATTCATGGCATCCAAGCCTCAAAATCCTTTGTTCAAAGAGGTCATGAAATAAATAGTTAAATTAAACAAAGATGATAATGGCTAAATCTTCAAGTCTAAGTGCTATCAATAGTCTTACTATAGGATCATGTATGAAACTGGGCCATTTAGATTCTCGGTCGCATTTAATAAAGTACTTAAGGAGGGCTTAATTGATGATCAAAACTACATAATTTTACACTATCGCATTGCTACTTAAGGATCATGCCCAAGTTATCAATAATACTTTGAATAGTGTATGAAAGAACTCAAACTAGTTTTAATTCAAGGATATCCCATTCTAATTAATGTGACTATGAAGCATTTATCATTTGGCTCTTGGCATAATATTAAGCAAGAATTAAGTTTACTTAGATAAAGTTGATTATCAAATTATATTTAAACTTACTTAATTTGGTAAACGGGGTTTTGGGGTTTTGGGGTTTTGGGG